GCTTTTATAAACTAAATAAATTACCGTATTTTCCGGGCTATACGTCGCTCTGGAGTATTGGTCACATGAGTCAAAAAATGCTTCATGAAGAGAAAATAAAACACAAGTTGCATCGGAATAAAAGTCACATTTATTATGCATCGCCGCTGACCCCTTGCGCTCGGGAAACGTGGGTCATGCCGTGCAAAAAAATCGATTAGCTGCCAAAAATTGATTGACGGCCACGGGAATGCACACGGTCGGCCTCGCTTTTGTAGTTCTTTGAAATTTAACCAGATTAACACCTAAAAATTTTTTGTTTGCACCGGTCGACAGCCGTGCCAGAAGAGAGGGGACCCAGTCCCTGTGTTGTTGGGGTGGGGACGCAGCGAGGCACGTGGTCTGTGGTCCCGGGAAGCAGTGAGGTGTGGACTGGGTGGCGCTGTAGTGAACCCTTCCAGGCCCACCCAGAGCTGGTTGTGGTGCACCGCCGCGGAGGAAATGCACCCGGCGGGAGCCAAACAGACACGGGGGGGTGGAAGGTCCCAGGCGAGGGGTAATCCTCCACCACCAAGCAGCCGTCCCTTCTGCCGGGTTGAATCCCCCGGGCAGACTGCACGAACTCCACCCATACTCGATTAACATTTTGAGCTGCATATTTTATTACCTGCAGTTTAAAATCTGCAGAATAGCATTTTATTTTCTCAGTTGTCTCTAAGTGAATGTTTTTGGACAGTTGTCAAAAGCCTAGAGGGCCCTCTCGTGGCTGGAGATGGTGATGTTTACTCTTTGGTTCATGTCAGTATGAATGAACATTTAACATTTCAGTCAAAAATTGCGTCATGAATAGGAAAAAAAAACGTATATAAGTCACTTCGGACTGTGTGTCGCAGGACTGGCCAAACTATGAAAAAAACAGCGACTTGTAGTCCGGAAAATATGGCAGTATTATCAGCTTTTATCAAAACATCCAAACAATCTGTTGCGTTTAGTCGTACCACTGATATTATTTTGACAGTTCAATGATGTATATGCACCCCCACAATGGCTCAAGGTGAAATGTCATCGTTGGCTTGCTGTGTATTCTTGATCACCAGTCGGTTGTCATTTCCAACTCGCACAGATCTGGCATCCATTATGAGATCAGTCAGGTCACAGAAGTGCTTTGCTCATTTCCCTGCCTCAAATTAAAGCTGATTCCAGAACAGAGACCATATTTATTCTTAATTGGCTTGGTTTTCTTGGCGGCTGCTTTTCCATTGTTCATTGAGAGAAAGGACAAAGGTTATGTTAGGGTTCCCCTACTTCCTACTGGAAACTTTAAAATTTCATAACTAGCTCAGTGGTAAGGTGTCTGTAAACTAGGGAGTCGTGTTTCTGGGCGAGAACTAAATGTATTTACACAAAAGATACCAAATACTGAGTATGATGGCACTTGTTTTCAGATTTGATCATGTGAAATTTACCATAAAGGCTGTTATACTGATGAAATCGTGACTTACTTCCATAATGCTGTATGGAAAACCACCATTTGTTGTGGCTCCTCGGACTGACGAAGTCCTTTGGATGAAAGATGAAACGTGTCAACAAAAAGCAACCATCCAGAGGACGTGACTCGACTTTGTTGGACAAGCGCTCCACTAATTAATCAGATTTTTACCATTTCTGAATATATTTCATTTTGTGTTTAGCTTTAGTTTTGTAAAAACTAGGCAATACTATAGTTTGATTTCGTACTAATGAAAAAACATTTTGTTGGTTCAAAAGTAAAATACTTGCCCGCATAATCTCCTTCCTTAACATGAGCAGTTTTTTTTTTTTTTAGTTATTTATCTCACGGGTGTTTTATTCAGTTCAGAAATGTCCCAGTCCAGTGATTTTAACCCCCCCACCCCAGAACATGCTGCACGCTGCAAATCATGCAACAAACAGACGTCAGTGCTCCAGCTGCAGCCGGACGTCACTGAACTGAAAGCCACGTTTTCACAGAAAACCGTTCTAAAGTGAAGGACAACAAACGTACACCCCCCCCCCCCCCTCCCCGTTTCCATCATCAACTGTGTGTGAGTTCAGAACTGTAAATGACCACAGAAAACTAGGGATGGGGTGTGGAGCATTCAAAATTCAATCAAGTGAAGGCCATCTCCAGTGGGGTAACAGCAGGCAGAGACAGGGAGGGGGGCATGAGGGAGAACTCAGCTGAAGTTTCCATTGGGCCCACTGTGCTCCTAATGCAGCCTTGGATGTAATTGGGTCCCAGAAGGCTGTTCATTATTGCTGGTGAGCGAGGCAACAAAACAGAAATGGGGTAGAGGGAAAAAGAAAACGTCTCGTTCGCTGCTCAGTGCCTTTGTCCCGGCAACATTACAGGACACGAGTTAATTAAAAGAGCAGTTGATGCCTCTGTTTTTCTCATCAATCTCACTTCTGCTCTTATTAAGTTTGTAATGACAGCAGAGCTTGTCCCTGTCAGCCACCACATACTCGAACAGAGAGGAAGGACAAGTAGGAGACAAGGGAGGGGCGGCTAATGCGAGGGACGCCTCATTTCAACAAATCTCTCAGTGGTCAACATCTAGCATCACCATAATCTCCTCATCAGATCTCAGGTTGGTGATACGTAGTCTGCAGGGGATCATTGTCCTCTTGCGTAAAGGCAGCTTTAATCATTTGGGTGTGGCGGTGGAGCCCATTTAAGAGGCGTGGCTTTGCACCTAATCCTGCTGCTGCTATCTGCACCGCCTTGCAGGCCATTTTAATTCCCTCCATCATTACAGGGTCCTTTCGTGGGAAGCTATAGTAAAGGTGACTGCTGACACTGTCATTCACAAGGACTATTTCAAAATGTCAGCCTGTAGCTGAGATTTGTCTCATTAAAGTTGGTGGAGTCCATTATATCCATCCCCTCCTCCACCTGCCACACTCAATCAAGAAAACTTGGAGAGCTGAGGGGTCGAGGCCACGCTTTTAATGTGCTTATTTGCATGAGAGTTACAGCAAGTCAGCTGATCACTGACCAACAAGAAAGGGAGTGCAGCAGAGGGACCCGGATAACGGTTGTTAGCTGTGCAGCTGGTTTTTGTTCTTCCTCCTAATTGCTGCCAGTTGGTAAAAGTGGTTTACCAGCGACTTCAGGTGCAAATGTGGTGAAAGACACGAGCACCATCCAAGTTTTGGTACAGCAGGCGAGTGACCTGAACATCTGGATGCAGCACTCGATGCAACTTATAGATGCATCTTTACAACTGAGGAGTTTGTAGATGTTTCACATCATGAGGGGAAGAAGGTGCATGAAATACTTGCACGTTTTGTCACTAATCTAAAACTCCAGTAACTAAAAATACATTTAGTGGAAGTTTTATTTTTGTATTATGTACCATATTTTCCGGAGTATAAGTCATATCAGTCAAAAAAAAGCATCATGAAGAGGAAAAAAAACACATAAGTCGCTTCAGAGTACATGTTTATTCTGCGTCACCGCTGAGCCACGGGAAACGTAGGTCAGCGTCGTGCCAAAAATCGATTGGCTGCCAAATATGGATTTGCAGCCGCGCGCACGGGAAAACTCATTGTTGCAGTTCTTAGGACTTTATAACAAGATCAACACGATTATTTGTTTGCTCAACATTATTGCAAAAGGTGTCTCGGTTTAACTTTTTCTTTAATAAATGCACTTTAATGGTCAATGTTTGGCAACGGGGCAATGGGGGTAGTGGTACAGAAACAATATATATGACTACCGGTAGTTGTCAAAAGCCTGGAGGGCCCTCTCGTGCCTCCAGCGGCTGCAAATGGAAAAGTTTACGCTGGTTCACGTCAGAATGAACATTTAAAGCGTCAAAAATTGAGTCATGAATAGGAAAAAAAGTTGCTTCGGTGTATAAGTTGCAGGACGGGCACATATGTGCAAAAAACTGACTTATATGCCGAAAAATATGGTAGTTGTATTTTTAGACTGCTTTGCTGTGTCCATTGCACAAAAAAGATGTTTTGGCGATCAACTGTTAAAAAAAAACGATTACGTAGAATAATTAGGAACTATTTATGTATTCAACTGATAGTTTGTTGAATTTCAAATATGATTCCAGCTTTTTTCAGGTCTGTACATTTGCAGCTTTTACTCCATATTTTTTTTATGTAGATTGAACAGTAAGAAAAGCATTATGGGTATTTTGCTACTTTCACGATTCCCCTTCGTAGAACTGTTGTAGTAAAATCAAATAAACTATTTCCGAGCAACTTACCAACTAATCAAAATTGATCATTTGTCACATTCTAATGTTTCTACCTAATTAAGGCTCTGGCTGAAGAAAATAATTCAGTGTAATAATTAAATAAACTTAAATACGTGTGTATATTATGTTATCAAAGAAAACATTGCAAAATGAAACCATCGGGAGTTTTGTAAAGTAGTTACATTTATTTCTTTATATACATAAGATGTTCAAAAATGAGTCCCGTTTTGCAAAGACTAAAAATATTCAGCTTCTCTACACAATATGTTAAGTTGCATGATTTTCTGATCACGAGCGAAAGCAACAAAAAAGGTGTGCATCAACTAAATCATCTTAAGACATGTTTGCTTTATTAAAAACAACATTTGGTAGATGGGGTGTATAAATGTGAAGTAGTTTAAGAGATATACTGTGACACGTGCTGGAGCAAGAAGATGGACAAAGGTCGATGATCAAGCCTGAAAGACTTGTGTGCATTTAAATTCAAATCCAGAGTGTGGCACGAAACTGCCACAAGTAGAATTTGAATGGAGCCTCTTGAGTCTGTAGAGGAGCCCCGCCACGGCAACACACACACACACACGCTTCAGCTCACTACACAACAACTAGTTACTGCACACACACAAAAACCAGCAACAGTGAAATGAAACCATTCTGTTTCAGCTGACCTCTGAAAACAAAGTCAGGGATGTAGAAATCCCGACTACAGGAATTACAAGATGTCTGTCGCATTCCATTTTACAGACACCTGGAAAACTAAAACATAAATATGAAATATACAAAAAAACAACACAACCGATGGTTCTGTCTTCCTAGAAATGGACCATGGAGCAGCCGGTGGCTGTCGAAGGTGGAGAGAGGCGTTTCCAAGGACCTGCTCCGACTGCTGTGCCTTATACAAGCTCTCACTCTAGTGGCGTGCACGTGAACTGCAGCGACCGGCAGCTGCAGGTTGAACTCTTCTGATGCCACGTCCAAGAATTCAACTTGCCGGGTGGTTTTTTAGAGCCCAAAACGGGCCGGGGTGCGTCTGGGTGTCATGGGGGCCTCCTCTCTTCTTCCTGGGGTGCAGATTTTTACGGCTCTGAATTGAAAACAGAAAAATAAAAAGTCAGTTCAGTTCCTGGCAAAAACCAACGCAGACATGTTCCCGTTTTTAGTTTTCTACACCGCCTTATAATCTAGCCGTTTTATTTTTCGATACTTTTCCTTTCGATTTGTAAAAACAAACAAAATATTAAGTGTGTGCCTCTTTTGTGACTATTGTTGTCGTTATCGCTCTTTAAGAAATCAGGTCTCTCTCGTAAGCGAGTCCCCGAGGCTCAGTGGGATTAACCCGTCTAAATAAAGGTTGAATGAACACACAACAAGTTGAATTTGCTAAAACCGTAGAGTGAAACACTAAACGTTTCTTGTTTAGAGTTTCAGACGGAGAAAATGATGGAGGACGCCGGCGAGTGCAGCTCGAACAGAGGCTGGTGTCTTTGAGAGGAGTGCTGGGACATGGAGCCTGACAGCACAATCTATCATCTTTAATTACGTGACAATGACACTGCCTACACTTCCCTCATCTCTCCTCCTTGCTCACAGACACACACACCTTGAGCGATTACACCATTAGACCTCAACCTCTTTCCCGTCACTGGGGGGTTTTCCACCAAAAGCGGTTTGGATGTTAGTTTGGAGCCAGCGTCAGATCTTTCTTTAACCACTAAAACCTTCAACTGGGACGCATCTGTAGCACCAACTCTTTGCTGGTTCAAAAGAGCCACTTGTTTTTTGTGCCTGGAAGCATGGCTGTGAAGAACAAGTAAAGCGGTGCGTCCAAAGCCGGATTAGCATTTGTTCTGATTTGAGAAAACAAAAATCGGAGGCGGCAGAGGAAAAACTTGAACTCATCCGTTCATCATCTTGCTGTTGTGGTGTAATACTTGTCAATCAAGTTGTGTGTGCTGGTTCACGCACTGCACAGCAGCGTTCACAAAATGGTTTTTTAACTGAATTAATAGACAATGTTTGCATCTTTATGCATGCATGTCATGCCATTTGGAATTATCTGCTGCTGTTTATATGTCCCAATAAAAACAGCATTTAATATTCCTGTTTGCACAACAGTTCATTAAAAACACCAACTATAAATTAGACTGATGATATAAAGTTACATATTCACAGGACAACCAAACAAACACTGATGCTCTGGTTCTTTACAAAACATCAAACACCCGACATTAACAGGAAAACACGTTTGGACGAACTTCTATTAAAAATGAAAGCGTGGTTCTTTTGGTATTTTTAGGTTGTGGAAAATGTTTTTTGGGAAGCTGGAGTTTGAGCCGACTGCAGCACCAGGTCTGAAGCATCACTGGAAGGTGTTGAAAAGGGGCTACAGTGCGCCCCCACCCAAAGAAATGAATTTCACACCCGTCTTTTCATCCTTGTTCAGTTCCTCCACACAAGCTGTGGTTTTACAGCAGCGTTGAGCACAAACGGAGAACGAGAAATGTTTTGCCGAACTCTTACAACATTTTAACACGGACTCCTTCTCAAAGAGCCACTTAATGTTTTAACTATTTACAACTAATTATATCTACTTTTGTTTTTGTATTCCAGGTGTTTTTTCAGCAACTCTTTTCTAGCAATAACATATAACTTGAAATGTATTTATGATAGAATACATCAATTGTGACAAATGTTATAATTTGTGATTTAAGCATAACTCAGATCAGTGTTTTTCAAAGTGGGGGGCCTCAAACACCTGGAGAGAAGAAGATAACAAAAAGCTAAAATTAAAAATAGTAATAATAATAATAAAAATTGTCCACTAGGGCAATCTGTATCCATCGTTTCCAGATAAACACACTTGAGAGAGAAGTTTAAATTTGTTTTGTTCTTCTGGTCAACAGATTTTTTTCAGTGGGAATATAATACAATGTTTAAAACATGTTAGTTAATAACATTTTTATGCTCGGCAGCTGTAATAATTTATAGAGTATAGTGAATAAAAGTTAAAACATTCTAAAAGTTGATGTTTCTTTACGTATCGTTTGTAGGTTTGCGATGGGGGGCCTCGGCCAGAAGCTAATTCTGTTTGGGGGCCATGGCATGGAAAAGTTTGGGAGCCCCTGGCTCAGATGACTAGTGCCTGAGGATTTAGCCCCGAGGAAAGTTGGAAATGAAAAAAAAAAACTGAATATATCTAAACCGATATCCTGGAATTAATGAGCCCAAAGCTGCGGCCTGAGCAGTTTGTTAGTGCAAGACAAAAACAATGATTAAAAAAAAACACAAATAACTACATGAAAATTATCTACAAAAAAATATTTTCTACCTAACACTGGTCAATTTGCACCTCTTGTTGAAAACCATATAGGCACTGTAAACATCAACAAAAGTAAGTATAAGGAGTCTCAGACACCCATTTGGATTCATGGAGCTTAATATAATGAACATTTCCTCCAAGTCCATTTTAGAAAAACATAATCCAGTGACGTGGACCCTCAAATGTTCACGTTTATCCTCAGCGCCGTCACTCTGATGTTCACTAATTGACAGCAGGGAGACAGGTGATAAACAACCTGATAAATTATTTCCTTCTAGTTTCACTGAACTCGGAGGAGAAAGCAGCGAGGCCTGCTGGAGGACAGAAGATGAGCAGAAGCCCAGGAGAGCCTTCAACTTCACTACCACATCCCAACTTCCTCTCTTTAAATCTAATTCTTAATCCTTTGCCTCTAGTGTGATTATTTCCAACATATCTGTCACACTAAATTCAAGCCAGATAAACCAGCGGAATAATTAACAATAAAAAAGTCCTTTTTAAATCACTCTTTATAACCTTATTTTTCTCTGCAAAGCTGCCAGATGAGTGTGAAATTAAATTTTTTTTGGTCTTAATTTGAAAATGAACGTTCTCCTCCTTCCTCTGTTCTGCAGTGGCACAATTTAAATTGCTGCAGTAATGGGGGTCAGCCTGGAGTCAATATTATTTCTTTTTGTCTCGTCTGGAGGGACCAGAGGTGAGACAAGCTCATCATGAAGAGTGAGAAAGGTGGAGCCGAGAGAGAGTGAGAGGAGGGGCGGAGGAACGGATAGGCACCGAGGTGGGTAAATTAAACGTTTCTAATCTTGACAGAGTTTGGAAAATGAAGGCCAAGAGGAAGGACTGCTGGATGACGCCTGCAAGGTGAACCAGTGACGTACCTGACACTGTTGGCATTGTTCTTCTTCTCCTGCTCGTCTCGTCGCGCTCGAATCTGCTCCTCAGCCAGGACCATTTCCTGCTCCATGTTGCTGATCTCCTCCTTGGCCCGCCGTCGGTTCTCCTAAAGGTGCAACACAAACAAATGAAGCTATAACCCAAGACGTTCTTTTCCCATGCCCGAAAAGGGGGAAGCCCTCTTGGTAGCAAAGTGGGGGACATGCTTAGTATTAGCTGGTCTTGGTCACCTAAACGTTTGGTGCATTTCAGAAGACACATCCACCCAAGTGCAAGACCCACATATCGAGCCTGTGCTTAATATTTTAGCTTCCTTTTTAAATCCACACCTGTTGCTGAATCAGCCTCAATTTTTCTGGTTAGATTTTTATTGAGATTTCAGAAGCAAGCATTACATTTTATTTCTCACTCGGAAATTGGGCATGAAGGCGCGGTAACGAATCAGAGCAGAAGTTGAATTCTTTAACATCCAACCATATTTTTAAAATCTACTTTTCTGTATGAAGACATTGTCATGATGATGAGGACGCCACCTTAACTATTTCTGTTTCACTGATAACACAATGTCATGAATGACAGTAAAGGTCATAAGACGATGACAATTTACAATTCTATTTACTTTTCAAAGTATCAGTAAACACTTGGGTTTTTTTTTCACCACTGAGTTATTAATACTAAAAGATTATATTTATTTACAAATGTTTGCTAAACAAATTAGATTTGTGGACCGTATATAAGTCGCAGTTTTTTGCATAAATTAGCATGCCTGCGACTTATACAGTGAAGCGACGTATTTATATATTTTTTCCTCATATTTAAAAACCAATTTTTGGCCGAGATCTGACGATTTCATTCATTCTGACATGGAAAATATTGAACACTACCATTTTCAGCCGCTAGAGGGCGCTCGACGAATATGGCAAGCCAAGTGTCTCATTAATAGTTAAAAGTGGCTATTAATGAGACACTTGGCTTGCCATACAGAGCCACCTTCGTTTCGCTCCAGAACTCCTGGAGCAACCGTCAAATCAGCTGCATTTCACCGCACCGCCCAGGTGAAATGCAGCTGATTTAACCGTCAAAGTGCATTTATTAAGGAAAAGTTCAACTGAGACACACCTTTACTATAATTTAGAGCAAACAAATAATTGTTTTTAGGTGGTTATCTTGTTAAATTCTTGTTAAAGTCCTCCTGTGCACGCTCCCGCGGCTGCCATTTGGCAGCCAATTGATTTTTGGCACAACACCGGCCCACATTTCCAGGTTGTCAGCAGTGACGCGTAACAAACGCAACGCATCAGCGGTGACGCATAATAGATGCGACTTATACGGCGAAGCGACGTATTTATGTTTTTTCCACTTTAACAGACATATTTGAACTGATGCAACTTATACGGCGGTGTGACATGTACGGCAGAAAATACGGTAGTGTGTGATTGTGTGTACAAACTGTGATCGATGGCCAGCCTTGTCCAAGCTTACCTGTCTGCTTTTCCCTGCGTGTTTGATGCTATAGAACATGGGCCCAAGTTCTGCCAGCCACTCTCCATCCACAGCAGTAACACACTGCATGTACTCCTATCACACAAAACACAAAGTGACCATTAAAAACATCTAGATTTTGCGAGTCCGTTTTACTTGACCCAGGTTCTGTCGACATGTTTACCTTCGTGGTCATGACGAGCTCGTGGTAAATGATGTAGTCGGGGGTGTAGCCCATACCAAACAGGGAGCTTGTAGGATGGAGGTGACATGGCATGCCTGTTCTCACATTCACATACTCTCCAATGCCCTGGGAGCAAACACATGCATAAACAACAAATTAAATTCCAACTCTAAATTACAGGACTCTGTGGTGAAGCTTAAATATGCATTTGTGCCTGCTTCTGTAGGGGCACGTTAAGGTCAAAGCTAAGCAGGTAATGTAGTCTAATTTGCTTCTCAACCTGGCTTAGATGGCAGAAAAATCCACCTGAAGTATATCCAGCATTACTATGTTTGCTTAGGTTGGCTGGCTCCTCATAAGTCAAACTGAGAACCTTTCTTATACAGTCATGATTTCAAATTCCCTTTCAGATTTTAGTGTTGTATTAATGTGAGGCCAGAGGGGATATTTCACCACTCTGTAATTATACAGCTATAAATCTGCCACAACCACTCACTGCCGGGCCTAACATATTAACTGAGAAACCCACAGCGTGGAGATTGTACCTTCAGCTTGGCTGCCTGATGGAAGTAAGCAGCACAGATGCACTTTCTGATGATGTCCCAGTCCGAGCCGCAGGAAACAAGGTTCATCTTCTGCTGCACCATGATGTCCTTTAACTGGGATCGCACTTCACGCACCTGAAAACAAATGATCAAATGTAGAAGCAACTTAAACCCCAGCGGCTTACAAATACTGCAAATGTTTCTGTAACAAAAAACGATATTCCATCATTTCAAAATATTTAAGAGTACCACAAATCACAGTATCACGAGTTTCCAAACGTATAAAACTTTTATCTGTCGCTTTTATAGTCATTAATTTCTACCCAAGAGTCTGAAAACCAAGCTACAAACAAAAGACAATTTACAAATTAAGCTGCACCATTTTCATGTAGTAACTCATCAAGCATAAATTCAGTCCGTCCAGATTTCCATTTATTGCCAAAGAGGAATCCGAAGTCTGACCTTGCGCATGGCTTTGGTGTGGATAAAGTGGTCATTGCACCAGATGCTGGAGTAGTTGTTGTTCTTCCACTGCATGTAGACGTTCAGGTAAGTGAGGTGGTCGCTCTCAGGGACTGAGAACTTCTCCCTCACCTGGTCACTCTCCTCCTCACGACCCTGTCAACATGCATACATGAATTAATTTTTATTTTTTTTAAATCACAGGTTTTTTTTAATGCTTTACAAGCAGAACTATTGATGTAAAAAGCCTTCTATACACACCAACAGCCACAACAAACACTAACTGTTCATCCTGAATCATGTAACTGTACAACCTTGACTCCAGTTTTATTCCCCACTATAACCTGAAGAAATTATTTGGTTCTAAAGTTGCCATGTTTCTTTTTGCTGTTCAATTCATGCTTTTGCACTGAACAATCTGCAGTTAATTTAATGTGAAGATGGGAAGAGAATCACAAAAGTGCATTTTTTTAACTGGAGAATTAAAACAGTTGAGGCTTCAACAAGCTCAGGGGAACTGCGAAGTCAGATCAAAATAGGCCTGTCACGATAAAAAAAAATTGCTGGGCGATTAATTGTTTATTGCGATAAACGATAATATTGTTTGAAATTTGACAATAATTAGTAATTATTGTCAAATCTAAGAAGAAATGTTTGTTAATTTGTTTTGCGTGTAGTACCTTTTTCGACCACCGGATGGCAGTATAAGACTGTTTGAACCGAAGGATGAATAGTGAGGGAGCGAGCAGCGTGTCTCTTAAAGAAAAATGGGAGGGAGGCCCCTTGACGTGACATGGGCTGTCTCTCAAAATGGCGGATGCTCAGTGTGATTTGAGCTCTTTAGCATTTTTCACACAAAGCTTTTAATTAAAAAAAAAATTAGTAAACAAGTTCTCAGCTTCTTTTTGCAGAGAAAAACTTTTTACTCGAAGACACGGGTTTCAACTGTGAATTTTGGAGCTTTGACAAGACGAAGGTTTATTCCCCCCCCGAGGTCGGCCTGTTAGCTTAGCTCGTAGCTTAGCTTCTCAGCTTAGCTGCTTTTAACGATCCAAAAATGTGATTTGGGACGGTTAAAACGGATTTTAAAGAGAAAGGGAGGAGTCAGTGAAGAACACTGGAGTTGAGCCTTTTGTCATCCGGTGTCTTCAGTAGAAAGAGACATGAAGAAACGATAAAGCCGATAAATGAAAATGAGGTCGATAATTTTAATTTATCATGCGATTAATTGATTTATTGTTTATCGCGACAGGCCTAGATAAAAGGTATTTCTTTTCTTTCCGTTTTATTTACTCTTTTTGCAAAAGTTCCAAGACTGCTGGGCTTGTGTTGCGAATTGCTTTCCCCTCTCAAAACTCACACTGAGAAATGGAAGATGAGGAAGCTCCGAGCTGACAGTTGTAGCTACACAGGTGACACGCATCGTGTGTCTAACAAACCATGCTGCTGTCAATTAGCCAACTCGACAACATGGTTCTGGGGTTTGGAAACACACACTTGTACAGCACTCTAAATGACTAAAGGTGAATATTAATGTCTTAATAATGCCATCTTTGAGAACAAATACTGAGTGTAACCACTACATGACAGTCACTTGAGCTAAAATCAACCCCTGTATACAGTATAATCACACCATCTTAAATGATCAATGACACCTAATAGCAACAATATTCAGTACTGTAAATTGATTTTTAGAAATACCCTCAAAACAATTTAAAAATAAACACTTTTACTCAGTTATGATGTAACCATAGTTGAACATTTGGTATAAAAAATAACTGAGGGGCAATGGCCGCTTTAATTTGGCTGATTTTTGCTGCATAATTCTTTCCTGGTCGTCTCCACACTTTCTGTTCACACCTACAGCAACTTTCAAATAATAACAGTGACTCAAATACCTTAGGTCTGTAGAAGATAGCTGGCACAGACAACATAGAGACGATGATGAGGATGTCTGCACTGCAGCCCATGTCACAGGACACTATGAGCATCTTTGAGAGGGCAGGGTCGAGGGGAAACTCCACCATCAGGCGCCCAGTTGGTGTCAAAGCACCTGCAAGGATAAAGAATAGCAGGTACAAGGTCACATGTGCAAAAACAAAACAGGAGGAACTAACATTAATGTGACTGATGACCGTCTTTACTATCTAAAGCTCGCTGGAGGCGTCAACATTATGACACCTCTCAATCAGAGTAGGGAGGATGAACTGCTGAGAATACTTTCAGGGAAAAATGTGAGATCAAAAACTTTCTGATTCAAATAATTAGACCAAAAAAAGTGTAAGAAGCTTATGATGAGGAAAAGCAGAGTAGCAGAACATACAGTTTGGGGCAGGTAAGCTTTAATCAGAGATAATCTCCCGTTAACACACCATACAGAGAATCATCAAAAGTCCCCCCTTATCCCCAAATCCCTAAATCCCCTGGAATCTGGCTAAGGATGAGACAGAAATGAGACCCAACCAGTCAAATCGAGCACAGGATCAGTTCCTAGGCACCGACTACACCTGACAACTACGTCCTCTAGGCCCGTTTCCAGTCTGCATGAGAAGAGCAGCCTCCTGCACGGAGCACATTCTCCGCTTTGTACAATCTTTACAACTTTGTAGAAGCTCAAAGCAACACTCAGGACATGTAATCTTAAAATACACGATGTTACAGCAGGTTATAAAAGTATTCACCCTTCTTAGTGATGTTTTTAATTTTTGCCGTGTGGATGGCAGATTAAAAGTGCAAATTCCCTAAAAAAAATAATTCAGAATAATGAAGTTAAATAAACAAAATGTGCTTCAAATAATTTTAAATATTTAATTTAATCAAATTTGAGATTCGGTTACGTTTTTGTTCACTTCAAATATTCAGACCGACCAGAACATTATAGCACCTAACACAGTCTGGCTCTGGTTTTAAAGAGAGTCAAATGTTTGAATTTTGAAAGACTCACTTTATTTTTGTTTGTTTGTTCACAAACCATGGTTATTAATGTACAAATATAAAAACATTTTCACCAAACCATGTTATTTTGTGCCAAAAAAATAAAGTTCAGCTTGAATGAAATACTGGAAATTACTAATCCTTTCATTTAGTACCATTTTTGTTTAAACTGTGTGACATTTAAAACCTGTCTGCTTTGAGTCTGGTGTCAATGTTTCCTAGAATTCACAAATTAACACATCAACTAATTCCTGTGGTTGTGTTTAATTAGTCAGGCAATGTCAGACTTCCCTACCTGTGTTGTCCAGAGCTCCTAAAATCCAGAGTTGGTACATTGAGTTGAGCATGTTGTCCTCAGGTGGTGGATCCATGAAATGGAAGAGAAGCAAGTCTTGAACACCCAGAGACTTCAGGAGTAGAACTACGTTGGCCAGGTTGGTCCTTTGGATCTCTGGTATGGTGGTGGTCAGCATCTCGTTCTTATAGGCACTCTGCGTGTAAAGTCTGTAGAAGGCACAGAGAGAAACACAAATACTAAATAAAATAAAAATATGTGTGAAACTCAAGTCGCAGGGAATTATCTCACAGTAAAATAAAACGGTGCAGAACAAATACAAGGTCTGATCTGAACCACTTCAGACTGTTATGTAAAGAAAATGTAAGAAGTTAGTTTGCTCTACAGTTACAGCTGTTCTACAACAAAGATCAGATCTTACCTTTCTGGTAGTTTCAGCGTCTACATAAACCAGATTATGTCAGTTATAGTTTCTCCTGAGCTACTGCAGGATTTCTGTCTTTGAGTCAATGATTTCCTTTATTTAGATATTCCTTCTAGGACATATTACTAATCAATTTACCAATATATACCGTATTTTCCGCCGTACACGTCACACTGCCCTATAAGTCACATCAGTCCAAATATGTCTAAAAAAGTGGGAAAAAGCATAAATAAGTCGCATCTATTATGCATCACCGCTGATAACCCGGAAATGTGGGCTGATGTTGTGCCAAAAATCGATTGGCTGCCAAATGGCGGCCGCAGAAGCGTGCACGTGAGAACTTTAACAAGAATTTAACAAGATTAACACTTAAAAACAATTATTTGTTTGTTCAAAATTATAGTAAAAGTGCGTCTCAGTCTAACTTTTACTTAATAAATGCACTTTGATGGTCAAATCAGCTGCATTTTGCCGGGGCAGCGCAGTGAAATGAAGCTGATTGGACGGTTGTTCCAGGCGAGCTGGACGAACGTGGCTGGCTTTGGCAAGCCCATTGTGTCATTAATAGCCACTTGTAACTGTTAAATGACACTACTGCATGCCATACTACTCGAGTGCCATCTAGCGGCTGAAAATGGTAGTGTTCAATATTTTCAGTCAGAATGAATGAAAACGATCATATCTCAGCCAAAAATTGTTTTTTAAATATGGGGGGAAATCCATAAATAAGTCGCTTTGGTGTATAAGTCGCAGGGCATGTAAATTATTAAAAAACCCGTGACTTATGGGCCGAAAAATACGGTAACCAAATGTATGCAAATGGCATTCAATTATACAATTACTTTAAGGAATCTGAATTACACAAATTGCCTCTTTTAGTAGAGTGCCTGTCAGACAATAAAAAATTATGAAAGATAAATATAATCAATCCTTCCTCTTTTGGGAATTCATGCTGAATTTCATCAACTGTAGAAACCCGAGTATGCCTGCGACCTAAACAAGCATGTGCAGTGACTGCAAGACTGGAGCAGGCAAGAGCTTAAATCGTACCTGTAACACTGTCCTGGACCTGTACGCCCTGCTCGGCCTGAACGCTGGTTGGCATTAGCTTGACTGATGGGATAAACCTGAAGAGCATCCATACCTATACGAGGATTGAAAACCTGTTGGGAAAAAACAAAAGTGGCATGAATGGTGCCAGTTAGTCTTAACAATAATATAATAACAATACTCAGCATGAACAACAACAAAAAAGTGATGTGCATACACGGCATACCTTCAGTTTGCAATATCCTGAATCCACAACAAACATAATTCCATCCACAGTAAGAGATGTTTCAGCGATGTTTGTAGCAACAATGCATTTTCTCACACCGTCTGGAGCCTTTCAGAGGATGAAACAAAGTTAATAAGCAAGACAACAGCACTTAGAAGTGGAAAAAAAAATAAAAAATCCACTAAATACAATATTTTTGTGCAGCAAAGGTTAATAACCTTCTGGAAGATTTTTGCTTGGAGGTCAGATGGAAGCTGTGAGTAAATTGGAAGCACAGCCAGAGGAGGAGCATTTTCCAAATCTTCCAAACGTTCCACAATCTGATCTGATGTCACCTGCAAGGACAAGATGAATTAATGGAAGTTTCAGGCAAGAGCACTTAACTGCAACATAATGTACACCATATATGTCGACATGAATGTCTCTGCAGACGTGGAATGTTGTAGTAATGAGTTATATTTCATCCTATGAGGAGGAAGAACAACTTGTGCAGTATGGAAAACAACCATACTTGCTTTAAAGCAAAACTGATGGAGGACAACTATTTGAGTCATTATTGCTGCCACTTCCTTCACCTCAATATCTTCCTGTCCAGGCATGAAGATAAGGATGTCTCCCATCATCCCACTGAGGTGGATCTGGAGGGCCTGCTTCACTGCAGCCTCCACGTAGTCCTCCTGAGGAGTCTACACAGCATAGGACAAACCAGTTAAATACAAAACCACAAAGGAACAAAACACTATTTTGAATTCTTTACAAGTTTGTACACAAAAAGCTAATGTTGCTTTTCCATGTCAGAGCAAGTCTCGTTTACATTTGACAAAAAGAGCAGTGCTGAGTCAGGCATGCAAACATTCAAGACGTCAACCTGTTTATTAGCAATTTATTTCTAATACATCAATGAGCAGCGATACCTGGTCTAGATTTAAAGCAGTAACACCACAGTGTACCTTCTGTGTACACACGACTCCAACATACCTTGCTGAACAATACATCGACTGGAAACGTTCTTCCTGGAATGTGGAATATGGGTACATTGCCAAAAAATCCAGCAAATTTGTCTGAGTCCATAGTGGCAGAAGTGACAATAAGCTTCAAGTCAGTGCGTCGAGATACAACCTGAAACAAAAAAAATGAGAACGACTGCTTTACCTCCATCTCCGTTTTAGAACGAACATGGATAACATCTGTATTTTACTCTCTGTTTAACCGATGTTTGTTGTTCTGACCTCACGCAGCAGCCCAAACAGCACATCAGTATTAAGAGAGCGCTCGTGAGCCTCATCCATAATCACAGCACTGTAGTGGTCCAGATCTGACTCCCGCAGAGACTCCCTGAGCAGAATTCCATCCGTCATGTACTTTATCAGCGTTTTCTCAGAAGTGCAGTCTTCAAAACGAATTGCATACCCAACCTGAGAGAACAACATCTGTGTTATAAAAACTATAGGCACGCTAAATTTGCATTTTATTTTTTAGTATTTCTAAACGTTAAGCCTAATATTATTTTATCACTGTTTTCTACTTTAACATCAACTCTCAAGTTCTAATGAAATTCGGATGAATGTCACAAAAATCATCAGTTTTCTTATTGTCCACTAGATGGCAGTGTTACACAGAAACTAAAACTGGACTTTGGTGCGATAAATACCGCAACATCAATTTTACCCAAATTCATTAAACAAAAAAACATGTATTTAAAGTGTTTCTTTTTAACTGTGATATAGAACCAAATTATTAAAGTTAATAATCAAAGTAGGGCGGCATGGTGGTGCAGTTGGTCGCCGTTTCAGCGAGAAGGTTGATGGATCAAACTTCTCTGAGTCGTTTGTATATTCATGCATGCATGGGTTTTCTCCAGGTACCCCGGTTTCCTCCGCATAATGGATGGATGTCAAACAGGATTTGATATGAAATTGTAAAGTAAAACATTATTTTAGTTGTTGAACTACTTGAAATTAATTGATGTATATTAAAAAAACTGTAAATTACTAAAAATCCATCCATCCATTCACTGTACCCGCTTCTTCCTTTTCGGGTCACGGGGATCACCGGTGCCCATATCCAGCTATAACAATGTGAGACAGGGGACACCCTGGACAGGTCTCCAGTCCATCACAGGGACACATGGAGACAAACAACCATTCACTCTCTCTCTCTCACTTAGGGACAATTTAGAGTTACCAATCAGCCTAACATGCATGTTTTTGGTCTGTAGGAGGAAACTGGAGTACCCGGAGAAAACCCACGCAGCACGGAGAGAACATGCAAACTCCACCCAGAAAGCTCCCGGGACAGGATTTTAACCGGCGTCCTTCTAACTGAGAGTCAACAGCTCTACCAACTGAGCCACCATGCCGCATAAATTAAAAATCTAAAATAAAAAAGCAGAAATTTATGTAAAACAAATATAGTAAATCCCTAAATGATTTGATAATAGCACTGTTAAAAATGACGTCTATGCTAAATGGTCCAAACAGTTCATAAAGAGCAAGCTGGTGGTGTTTGCAGCAGCAGGTCGTTGGGCTGAGCCAGCCAGCCGTCTCACCTCCTCTCCGAGGTTGGTACCGATCTCCTCGCTGACTCTCTTTGCCACACTCATCGCTGCCACTCTTCGAGGCTGCGTACAACCCACCATGCCATAGCGTGTGTAGCCATCTTCATGTAGATACTGGGTCAGCTGGGTGGTCTTACCGCTACCCGTCTCCCCAACAACAATGACTATGCTGTTGTCCCTACAAATTGCAGTAAATAAAGAAACAATTTATCACAGTTTTGATGTAATGGAACATATTTTTTGTAAATACTGTAAATAAAAGTTGATTTGAAGAAGCAATAACACTTATTTAAATACCTTATAATGTTGAGAAGTTGCTGCCTGACAGCAAAGATGGGGAGGTACTGTCTCTGCTCCAGAAGACTCTTCTTCTTTGCAAACTCACTGCTGGCCTCACTCTTCTCTTTCATGTGCTCGGCAAATTTTTGATCTGCTCTGTGAGGCATTTAAAATCAATTTAATGCAAACGTTTAAACAAACTGACAAAGCATTTTTTAAGTAAAATACACGGTGTAAAAAAATAAATAAATGTGCAATTTGCTCACTTGTAGTCAACTTTGCCATCTTCGCCCACCACTTTGCCTCCTGGCTCTTCATCTTCTGTCTTCTTTATTCCCATAATATCACCCAGTTTGGTGCCTGCCAGTTCCCAGTGTTTGTGCTGTGCCTAAAAACAAAATAAGATGTGTTTTAATTAATCTGCCCTTTATAATTTTACAGTACAACCTGAAGATGAAAGGATTGTAGTATTATAAATTCTCCAAACACCAAAAGGAGATGAAAAACATTCAACACAAGATTTTATGCAACTGATGGTCGTTTACTCCAAATTGGTGGAGTAGTGTGAGCATATGGTTATTTAGTAAATTGATGCTAAACATCACCGACAGTTTGACAAACGTGCACTGACAAAGCCTGTTAAAAAAAATAAAGTCCTTAATATACATCAATGAACCATCACCATGAACTATTTTAAGTGTCAAAAATGATGGAGGTCTTTTCAGTAGTCAACAAAAATACGTGTGCGCGTGAATTTGGGTAAATCGACGCAGTTAGTGAAAAAGAAAATACAGTAAACACAAGGAATTATTTTTTATGATATTTTGTTAGTTTAAAGTTCTCCACTAAAACAATATTTTCGCAGTCCTTCCCCAGCCCAAGAATTGGTTTGGAACAAAATTAAAAAAGCAAAGTGTATTTTATTGTAACCCGGTAGGTCTGGGCAATATCTCGATATTTTTAAAATATCCAGATAATTTCATACGCGAGATAAGATGGGACTATATCGACTATATCGATATTTTTACGTTGTGTTATAATTAATTATAATTCCGTGTAGTTCTTTTTCTCCCGTCTGCGCCAACTGCACGTGAGCCCCTCCATCTCCCTCACTGAATACAAACACTGCCCCTCACGTGCTGTGTCACACACGCCTACTAACATCGTGAAGGCGGCACAGCTGAAGATGATTATTATTTAATATATGTAAATAGTTTGTTTTGTAGCGTTACAGCTATCGTTAATACATGTGCCTGTGTGACAATTGGGGCACAGCTTTGACTCAGAAATATATTTGTGTAAAGAAAAGTATTGATATTTATTGTATTTGACTTGTATCTTGAAATAGTGAGATATTAATTTCTGTCTATATCGCCCAGCCATATAACCCAGTTTATTTTTATTTGCAAACCCAGCATACCTTCTTGCGTTCTTTTTGCTCACGATGTTTACGAACAAGCTGGCTGCCTTTTCGAGAGATGATGGCCATGTCAGAGGTGGGATCCTTCACAGGGATAATGGGCTCAGGCTGCAGGAGAAAAAACACAACACACACACACAAACATTTAAAAAACTAAAGTAATGGCATGTACATTTATTCATTTTGCAGTCGTTATTTAAATCAAGTAACAACATTCAAGATTTAGTCTTCTATTTCTTTTGGTTTTTCCCTCTTCAGGAGTCCTCCTCCTCCATCTCTCTCTGTCCTCTATGTCCTCTGTCCAGCTACCTCCATGTCCTCTCTAACTGCATCCATACGTCTCCTCTTTGTCTTTTTCCTGGCAGCTGCATTTCTAACATCCTTCTACCAATATACCCACTGTCCCTCCTCTGGACATGTCCAAACCACTGTCCCTCCTCTGGACATGTCCAAACCACTGTCCCTCCTCTGGACATGTCCAAACCA